TCGCAGATATTCCTTGAACCACTATACCGAGGAAACAATGTGGACCAGATGATCCTTACGAAGCACATCAACCAGAATTTAAATTCGGCAACGTCTAGTCTAGTCGACAATTTCATTGAACCTCTACATGGAGAACCGCGCATTCAACTCTTTATGACCACTTTCTTCAAGTGGGGAAAGAAGAAGAACGCTCTTTGATGACGTCGCCGTCTCAAAATCACCAACATTACATGTTCTTATTAAAATAAATGTCTCATTAGAATCTGATTTGCAGAGAATGCAATTGTAATGGACGTTACAACTCAAAGTCCTTAGAGGAGGAGTTATCGTTGTTGCGAAACGAATAGAAATGCACTGGACAAGCTCAAATATATTGCAATCAAGTCTACTAGATATGGGGAAATAGCTTCAATAAATAAAATATACCATACAAATGTATTTCTTGCATATCATATATGGATGGGCTCAAAAACACAATAAGGACACAAGCGGCACTCATATTTTCCCTCCTCCCGAGGCGTCTGCGACTGAAATGATGGATATTCTCTTGCCTACTAGAGCACGCGGAGATTAAGCGAAAGAGATGCGGAGGACTAAAAAAAACTCACTCAAGCGATGGAAGCCGCCTTCCAGCAATACAAGGATACTATGAGTCGATTGACTGGGGGCCATCTGATCAGTGAACAGGACCTGATCGACGGGAACAAATGGCTTCGAGAGGGAGCGATCGACTCCCTTTCGAAGACATGAACACAATGGTCGCAAATTTCGACGAAGTTCAAGTACGAATTGGAGAAAGTGTGAACTATGCCAACTTGCAGAATTCCATCAGTACATTTGGAATCTTTCGTTCCCTTTTCCCCGGCAGCGCATAGCTGCCCAGTACGGTGTCTACGAGAACGAGATGCAAGAGAAAGAGCGGCGAAACCCAGGCTGAGGAACGCCATCGTATCGGCTGCATCTCAATACGACATCCAGCTGAACCGAATGTGCGATGCAGCTTCGATCAGCGAGGAGGAATTCGCGAAATGGAATGCGGAATGTCGCAGGGAAGCTATGGCGACTTTTCTTGAGGACTGAGTGCAATGGCCACAACTGTCCTGCAAATTCAAGGAAGAGTTGGAAAAGGTCAGTTGCACCTCACTCTACACTGAAAAGGATGACCAGTAATATTAATGTGTCGTGAATTAATTTATTACTTTTCGAAGCATTATTTATATTTATCACTGTTGGTGGCGCCTTTGGCGCTCAACAATTTTAGATAATGGATAATTCATTCGAAGGGCTCAAGCTTAACGATTGTGTTGGAATACCTTGGGTTATTTGCATGTTTGATTCTCTGTTTAATTACTTCCTATTATGTATTGTCATAGGCAAACTAATGGACTGAGATCATTAGTCTCAATTGATATCGTGCCGATAGTACCAATTATATATACTTTTTAAAAATATTTGTTCCATTACGCATTTACTGTATATCTCAATTTTTAGTCTCTCAGTTTCGTTGTAGTGAAAAGAATTATTAAAATATTTCACCATGAGGAAAATGTACCCCTAGAAGATTCAGAAACGATATTCACTCGAAAATGCATTCAAGGTCATCCTGATGCAACTCTCCCTTTGGAGATTCATTCTCACCCTTCATGAGCAGTGTAACACTTCCCTTATTGAGAACAAATACTGTATTACTTCTGTAATTTTCTACTTGACTGTAATACTAATTCCAAGACTGTATAACTGTTATGTTTCTGACGACAGTGTTTCTTTGGCTGTACAAGCATCGCGAGATAATCATATCCAAATGTTTACTTGAAGGTCTCTACTGGTGTTGATGTCCCACAATGTGAATTGACACCTAAGAAGTTAGACACGAATTATACAGTATGAATCCCTTCTGCTCCTTGTGTGCGTAGTACTCGCTGCTGCAGGGTGTCAAATAATGGACGCTTAAAAAAATTGATTTATCGAAATTTGGAAAAAGCTACAAATAAACTTCAAACAGCATTTCAAACCACGATTGTAGGAGATTATGGATGATGGTGTGGTTGCCCTCGCTTGCAACCACGTGACACAGCGGAACATCAAAATTCTGGGCGACAGCTTCGAGCACCTCTTCGGAAATCTTTTCAATTTCACTCTGAATGGCATCCTGGAGCTCCTTGGTAGTTTTAAGGTTGTCAAGTCAACTTCATCTTTAATACATAAATTATTCGCATGAGTTGGGGTCCGGGGTATAAGGTCAGTCGATTACCTTTCCAGGCACCTTGTTCTAATCCAGAACAATAATGCTATCGTCGAAATGTTCTTTCAGGAACTAAAACATCTCGCGGGTGCGATGAGGCCTCGCCCCTTCCTCCAGAAACCAGGTTTCTTGCTAGAGCCCTGTACAGCTGGGACGAAATGCCTGTCCTTTTTAACTCTCGATCGCTTTGCTGATAGTTGACTTCAATGGGCAGTAACTCACTCAATACTCTCCAAAATGCCCTTCTCGCTGTACCTTGACCTTTTTTTACATAATCAAATTGTATTATTTCAGCCTAAAAACGCGTTAATTGAGGTTGTGAATTTATATTTATATTTTTTAATGTGAATAATATAAAACTATTTAAATCTCACGAGCGATAAACTCTCCTACAATTACTAAACATCCTTGTAAAATATGAAAATGTTAAACTCACATTTGTCAAATATATCAATGATTCCTATGGAAGCGTACAGCATTTCACTCCACGAACCTCTATACCCAAGTAACACAGTATATTGATGAAACGTTTTCGCAATGTTGCCTATGTTGCTCTATGTTGCAAGTTGCTGTACAACATTGAGAAAACATTGATTCAGTGTTTTCACTTGGAATGTTGCTGCGACACTTCTACGAATGTCATTGCAACATTAGCTATCAACATTGAGAGAATGTTGACACTCTTGACATCGATAATGTAGCGACAACATTCTGATACAACATGGTTTTAGAGAATTGTAAAGTTGTCCTCCTTGCCACGAGATGGAGACGTAAGTCTCGCTTTCTCACAGTGCACAAAAGTGCCCTTCTCCCTTTCCCCTGAATCATCCCGCACAGGAATGTCTAGTACCTTGCCATATGTCTCACATTGTCTCATTATAGGAATCAATGAACACGGACACTTCATCACCTGTTATCTTCATTTTCTAGACAGATTAATGGGGTCAAGATAGAAAAAGCTCATATTCCCAAAAAGAACCCTTTCCAAGAACGGGACAATAAAAACGATGGTAGAGAGTCTGCGATCTCAATACTTCATGTCCTCATCCTGGGTTCTAGCTGAGGAAACGAAGGATTCATCTCGTGGACACTCTATAGAACATTGCNTTCCTTTCGTCTTCATCTCCACTCTTCCGCATAGAAATTACCCAAATTGCTTGGCGTGATTATTGGATTTCACTTCGATAACGAATAGAAATGAAAATATTTTGGCATGACTGCTCCCTACCGGGAGGGAAGGCACAGACCCCACTGGGAACTGGAAAGGCACGCGAGGCGATGTTGAATGCGTCAGGAAAGAGCAAAAATGTGTCTGGGAGGGAGGAGGACGGATGAGTCATCACGTGGATGTATGTCGATCTTCCCTGCGCGTCAGAACTGCTTATCTCTCGTATCTACCTCCATCGCCAGGTTTTTTTTTCTCTACTAACATTGCAAGCCGGAGATAAACAAAGCCGAAATAAAACGAAGTTACACACGGGCTTTGCCCGTGTGTAACTTCGTTTGCTCTGTGTGAGCTCTGTGGACTCGTTCTGAAGAACAAGAATGAAGCTCGTGTACTTCCTTGTCGCGACCATTTTCCTCTCAGCTTCCCACGTTTCTGCGGGTATGGAGGAACATTTTCATTTTTCTTTTCTGAAGCGAGCTATTAGAGCTTGCAAATTTTGTCTTGAGGTAAATCACAGCAATTAATTCCAAAAATGGAATGCAATTTAGTCAATTCTCCATGGATCACTGCAAACATGAAGTTGGATATTCATAGAATAAGTTTATCTTGGAAAGGGCTGTTAGTCTATTCCCAGTGTAGAATGCCCTAGTTTTTTTTTCTCTCTCGCTTAATATGCATTCCACTATAGGATGCTCCTCGAAGGATGCTTAGACTACCTAACCATTAATTTTTGTTCATTAAACACATAATATAAAACTACAAGAATTAAATTGAATTCTTATATCGTATGTGTGTATCATATAGCTTCATTACGCAAGTGAAAGACTTCCCCCTATGGTCACTTTCGTGAATTACAATCTGAAGCCTAAGAAAGAGAATCGTGAATTAGGCGAACGATGCTGTCAATGAATGCAGGACAACAACTTATATCTCACTTCAAGAACAGAGTCCAGCAGTGACGCCACCACCCAAAATAAACGGAACAAGAGGAAACGAGAGGCGACAGTGTGGAAGAGTGACTGACCCCTCTCCCTTCATCCCCCGTAGCGGCCTTCGACGAGCAGTGCACCCGAGACGATGAATGCGACCCGCGGGCGACCATGGTGTGCAGGCGCGGCAAGTGCGTGTGCAATAATATCTCCTGGCTCGACGAAAATGACAAGAAGTGCTGTACGTCCTCAATGGATTACTCTTCGTAGATCGGTTTACCGGGAACTTGCGCTTTAACGGTCTTACAGAAAGAAAAGGGAACGGAAAACGTAGCTACAATTGGAAAATGTTCCCTAATCAGTTGAGAGATATCATTCATTTTCTACTTTTTTCTCTTTCAATGGACGCTGCTAAGAAAAAGTAATGAATTTGTCCTCTTCCGCATGTCTTTCCTCTCAAAGGTCACTTCAGAATGAAATTTGTTTAAGGATGTTACGGTTTTTCCCAAATGTAATTTTTTTTAACAATGGCTCCTTTGTGAAAACTATTTTAATACTAGGTTGTAACGAAAGTTTTGTGCATAAATCCTTTTTTCCAGTAATGACGCAGCAGTCAATTTTTTCGTCACACATTCTGAACGCTGTAATTTTTTAAAATATAAATTTAGCGATTTGTAAAAAAAAGAGCAACATATAACATATACGCGGCATAAAACGCGCTTCAAAATAATACCAAATACGTATATTAAATTTTTTAATTTAGAAAATGATGCTGAAATGAATTTGTATTTATGCACAAAAACTTTTGTTACCGCCTAGTATATCCTTTACAAAGAAAAACTTAAGTAAATTTTCCACATTCTAGCATCCGATGTTGTTGCAAAGATTCAAAAAGCAAAACTTGAAGTACGATTCTAATCTATCATCAATTTTGAGACATGTTGGTAGCAGCATTTATTCGTCACAGCTTGGTACAAAATAAAATAAAAAAGAATGAAATAATAAAATTATCAGGTATTATTCACTCGTCAGCAAAATATTGAAGAGGAAGAATCCAGTTTGGCATAGGGACAGATTTTAGCACATCTATCGTAGCAACATTCGAGACAAAAACGGCATCGATGATATTCATTTGTCTCATGATAACCAGGGGTGAAACGTAACTTATGAAGAAAGCCGTGAGCTGCTGCACGAGCCATAACATGACGGTTTGCCTCATTAGGTTTCATTCATCGGTTTGTTCCCAGGTCGCATCAGACATTGATTCAACGTTGACATGGTTTAGATCGAATGCGTCACTGTTGACAGTTGATAACTCTGTGTTAAATCAACAATGATTCAATGATTCAACGTGGCCCTTTATACATCCACATTCGGCAAATATTGGTTCATTGTGCTCTATTAACGGAGGGAGCATCCACATCAAATCATCATTGATTCATATACTTAGGATTCTCCGAGTCGGGGAACTCTTTCCCAGCCGGTAGGGTCCGAGAGAAATCTCCATCGATGGAAAACTCGATCAATCAGAAATTCCGCGTCGTATTTTTGTCGCGTTGCAATTTGAACCCGATTAGCTACGACCGAGTTATTGAAACAAAGGTCGGGGATCAATGGCTCGATTGAGAGCGTGTTCCGCTCGCATGACATTTTGCAAAGGTTTGAAACCTGGCCGAGTCGGACCTTTCCTCCGAGATAGCGACCGATTTGTTTGGGATAAACCATTAGGGCATGGTTTAGGACTCAAGCATCGACATTAAGTGAATATACACACATTTAAGGGCTCATAGATTCACCCCCTCATACGGATCCAATGATGGACACCCATTGATCAAACAATTTCTTCTAATTTTTTTTCCTAATTTAGCAACTTTTATAGAAAGTATTTTATAGAAGCTTAAATGTTTTAATGTTTTAATTTGCTTTAAACAAGAAAAAACAAACCAAGGAGTCTAATGGATTCTTGCTTTTGTGATGCTCCTCTGTCACAACATGCCTTACCCGGATGAGGGTTAAAATAAGATTTGGATCCCCGATTTCGGTGGATATCACTTGAAAGCTCGGGCTGAATTTGGGCTTGAGGTCCTAATTCTCATCTTTACGGGGAAAATTACAACTTGATATTGGGTTGTTTCCACTTAAGATTCAACTGCTGGAGTCTATCTGCATGACTTTCTATCTTTAGTAACAAAAAATAATGAATTAATTTTTTGTGTCCTACCCTGTGTACCACAGGGAAGGCGAGCGGTCTGATAGGTCACCGCAATACTGTTAGAGCACCTTTCGACCTTCACTCCAAAGTGCTTCCCCCTTACTGTGATTGTTATTACAAACTTTTCTGGCTACATAGGTTGACATGTTGCCAGGAGTCATATGAATTTTCAAATTTGCGTCATGCCTAGGGAAGCTTTGAGCATTTATTCTTACATTATACGATACCTTTTATAATAAGGAATAACATGGATAACTTGCTGAAATTGAGAGGAGTGAATGCATTCATATTCCAGATTTGGGACACCTAGCCCCGTGCAACGAAACCACGAAGCCGTATTGCACACGTCCCCTCGAGTGCATCGAAAATAAATGCAATTGCCCGGTCCTTGGAGCAGTATTCGTGGAGAAAAACTGCTATGATGAATCCGGTGCGTCTCTCCTTCCTAAATGGTCCAAACGACCCGAATGGCCCGTTGCCATAGGGAGCTTCGCGACTCGCAGTCGTCCTAACCGTTTTCAAGGCACGAAAAGCCTGTTCCATAGAATATTTACTTGTTAATAACTTGAAGTGATGAGTACTTACAAGGGTCATGTGTAAACACTTGTAATATTCTGTGGAACAACTCCCTGATGCCAATGAACCCACGCTTAGGGTTCGGAGAACCCTGCCAGGACGACATGAACTGTTACCTTTTGGGGAGTGGACCAGAGCAGGCCGTGTGCAAGGAGGAAATTTGCACGTGCAATGAAGAGAAGTGGTTCTTCCCGCTGCTTCAGAAGTGCGGTAAGATCTTCGAGTTGTATTTGACATGAGGAATCCTATCATTTTTCAACATACTTCAGGCACTCAAATCTCAATCACATTTTATGCAAGTACGAGGGACGTTCAGAAATTGCTGGGAATTCCGTCAGTGAACAAAAGGAAATCGAGCTTAACCTATTCTGACTAGTGGCAGGTGAACCTTCTGCAAACCGGTGAAACGAGATGCTCTGATATCGTGGAAGGAATCACTATGATATTCAGAGACCACACCCCACTCACCGAAACGTATCATTTAGGTTATTGCCAAATCAACGTATCATTTAGGTTATTGCCAGCGTTCCATTAACGTCCTTGGGAACGTTCTATGGACTTATTACATGTCCAAAATTCAAAGCTATGAAATAAAATTTTCGAATTATGTGTTCCCTGAACAACGGGAATTCATCAAGGACGTGAATTGAATATTTTCATGCAAAGGGTTCAATAAAACCATCTATGCCTCGCCTGTTGAAGCCTGAGTCGATCGAATGGAAACGTTTCGAGAGCTGCTTCAACTCAACCAAGAAAACGAGAAGAGTTTTTTTTTTCTTCATCATTGGAGATGAGACGTGACTTCCTTATTTCAATCCCTAGACTAAATCACAATCTCTTTTAAAGACTTTTATTGAAAAACGCCCTGAGAAGCTGCATTCACGGCCACTCTTTCAGCAGGACGATGCAAGGCCCCACACCGCGTGCTTCGCTTGAGCATCCAAAGCAGGAATGAGGTGGGAATAGCTCCTGCATTCGCCCTAATCGCCGGGTCGCCCAGTGACTACCCCTTCTTCGGCGAGATTGAAGAAGCCTCTGCATTGATTGCATTGAGGGAATGAAAGCTGCACTAAACAGGTGGATCAGAAACACTCCAGAAAGTATTTTTCGAAAGGTCTAAGGAAACTGATTCCACGCTGGAAGATGTGTCGAACTCAGGAGAGACCATGTTGAAAAGTCACAATTTAATGATGATGAATAAAGAAGTTACCCAGAAATTATAAAGAAATTCCCAGAACTTTCTGAATGCCCCTCGTTGTTTCCACCTTTGGGCATTACTTTCGTGCGAAGAGAAGAGATAGTTCATTTTAAAATATGTTGCATGAAGTATCGGGAGAGCAAAGTATCAGGATGGAGAGGTTTGGAAAAGGTGTACAGCCTCGATTTTCCTCTCAAGCACCTCTTCAGATTTTGTAATAGTATCAATATTTTGTACCTCCACACTCGAGATACAAGTGAACATTGAAAATTCCGACTGGGGCTGTTGACACAGACCTTGAAATTTTTAGTTCCGGGGTCGGAAATCGATGACAAGTGCGACAAGGACACGCCTTGCATACCCGACGAAGCGATGGAGTGCAGCAGCGAAGGAAAGTGTCGGTGCAAGGACGGCTTCAAGGACCAAAAGCATTGTTGTAAGTTTCCCCTCGCTATCATTCCAACTTCGACGGACTCATTCACTCTGACAATTTTCATTTCCGTGCAGCTGGGGCGAGCGAGATCACAGGTACGGTCTACCTCCTTCTCACCTCTTTCTTCCCACACGCCTGGTTCTCATGGCTGACTTGAAGAGTTTTGGAATAAAATATTTCTCCATTACAACAATTGCCAATCGATTGTCATTTTTTCTACATTAATTTCTCCGACTTCAAGGAAGCAAAGGAAGAAAATTAATTCGTTGTATGCATCGGCTGAAGGAAACTCCACCCAGTTTCCTTCATCATCTCAGGCAGCACAACCAAGTCCCGCCAACGTAAGGACTAAATTATGTCGAATTTTCACTTGTGCGATGTGTGCCCAACGTCGGTTCCCAACGCTAGCCTCCTACAGACTTGTCCCTTGGCCCCACATTGAGCTATCACTGAACGCTGACGTGCGGTATGACTTTTCAAGGGGTTCAAGAGAAGTTGCGAATGAGCTGAATTATATTTTTCACATGATCATTCTGAACATGTGAAATATATAATGCGGTTGGCTTACAGCCAAAATTGTCGTTGGCTATGAAATATCAGGCGACTACTACCTACCTAAGCTGTCTCTTTTTGAGACATTCACACTTTACGTGGGATTGGAAAATCCAAGTAATTTCATCTCTCAATCGTCTGTTTCACATCATGCACTGGAAGAGCTTGTTAGGTGAAATTTCTTTTGTGGCTTCCCTTTTGCTTTACTGTATCTAAACTTGAAATGGAGCCAAAAAAGGTACAATTCAATAAGGTACAATTACACGCCCCTATTTGAACCATGATTCTTCCATAAATGCTGGGGGTTCGCCTGGACTGTTACACTATTTTAAACATAGGCATTTAGGAATTTAGTAGTGTCCGCCGACGCTCTCTGTGGAAGAAGAAAAGGTGTCGCTTGAAAATTACTAGGAACTTAAAGAAAATAGCGATAGGAACTATAGAACTATACGAGAATGGCAATATGAGAAAGGAACCCCACGAGTTCAAAACTTCATATCCCCAGTTTCCTGAATTGAAAAGGATCAGAAAAAATGAAATTGGCGGAAGTTCGATTCCCAGTGAAGGCATGCTGTACTCGTATACCAAATATCATCCAGATCCGTAAAATGACTGTCACCACTTTTGACTCGAAAATTAGAATGTCTCGGATGGAAGTCAGATAACACAATTATTGGGTTGGAAAGAAAGTCTTGCAACACCCTGCACAAATTTTTCAAAATGTTATAACTTTATTGAAATGCAATCTCAGTCTACAATGTAATGACCATTGTTGTCTATGACATGTTCCCAACGCACTGCTCGATGCCCTTTGCCCAGAACTCTGGCGATTGCGAAGCGAAGAAACGGCCGACATCATTTTCGAGCCGTGCTCGATCGTCTTGTGCCTTGTCCCGCAGGTGATTCTTGAGGGCCCGGAACAAGTGATAGTCGGAAGGGGCCAAGTCCGAAGAATACGCTGGATGGGGTAAAACATCCCAGCCCAGTTCCGAAATCGTCTGGCGAGTCGTCTTCGCAACACGTGGACGAGCGTTGTCATGCAGAAGGAGAACTTTGTCGCGTTTGGGACGCTCTTTTTGAATGA